AACCCTTCGTGCCACCAAGGAGGCCCATTCCCTGCATTTCTTTCACCTCTGTCAAACCTTGATTTAAGTTAAGTGGTTGACTTCTTGCATTTGAGGTTACTAATGTTAGTCTGGATTCTGGAATGGACATTGCTGTATAAAGTTATATGAAGCAGTCCTCTTGTCTGAAAAGATAACTTAAAAAGAGGTCTCTGAGTAGAGATCATTTAGCAATAAACCATGCAGTACTTTTTTCAAGATAAGTTATTATAGGCCTTAATACTAATCTTATAAATGTTTTGTTTGTTGAGATCACCATCAGCTATATTAATTGAGATTGGGCCATCAAATGATTTACTATACTTATAAATTGGGTGGATAAACCAGTGTTGACTTTTGAAAAATAAGAGTGGGTGCTGAGAAAACTAATTCCCCCTGCGCCTCATCAGTGGAATCTTTCAACAATAGTATCTTGCATGAAAGCTAGTGATTTAGCACTTCAGTTCTAGTGTTAGAGATTTAACATTGGATCCTAGTTCTGCAACATATCATTTATTTAGCTTCCTGAATTTCAGTTTCTATCTTTCTAACAATGAAACAAGAATACTATTTTACAGTGTTAATGTGATTAGTAAGTAGATAGTACATGTAAAATATTTAAAACCACAGACCATCAAGTAGTAAATACTCAGTATTTTTTCTCTTTCATTTTGTCATTACTGTTTTTTTTTTTTTTTCAACTAGCGGTGAGAGCTAGTGTGTGATATTATACAAATAATGGATCTCTATCACCTACCATTCTTGATCTTTTTCAAATTCTTCAAACTTTGAGTTTCCCATGACTCATCTCTGTTATGGAAACAATACATATCACATCATAGTGTTATTAATGCAAGTGATTCTTGTAAAAATATTTTGTTAAGTAATAACATGCTTTATAAAATGCCAAGTATTATTATGAACTTTTGATTACCCCCTTATAGATGACATTCTGGATGACGTACCAGCAAACTTTCATCCAAAACATTTTATTTTTACTAACTTAAATTGCTTTTCTACCATCTTCCTAACTGCCCAGCTATCCTGTGATAAGAGTACCCAAATGTATTTTAATAGTCTAAGCCAAATGTAACCAAGAAAATAATTCTGTTTAAAGTAATACATTTCAATGAAAGATGTTTGTTTATGAATTATTCACTATTCTATAACTATCTTATGTTCCCCCTAAGTATATTTTTATTTATATGTTACAGAAATTTAGAAGCATCATTGGGTTATAACATTCTGCTTATCTGAAGCATTTAAATTATGGAAAGAAAATGTGTTATCTGGCTTACAGTTTAAAAGAAAAGAAAATTAAATCTGCATTAGAATTAGATACAATTTCATAGTTCTTAGTTATGGTACTAACAATTTTTGGCATGCAACAATTTTATTTCTCTCTAATTTGCAATGCAATTTTAAAAAGCTTGGCAATTCATGCATATGCTCTCTCATCCATACCTTTTCTAATTAAAGAATCAATTCAAAAGTATTGCATATGGTGCAGCTATGGATACAACTAGTAAATAGCATCTTGTTTATCTAAGTAATGATATACTATATGTTGTATCTCTTATGAAATATTGGGGAATGAAGGGAACTTTTACTAACATCATGTCTTTTCCTGGTCCTTCCTTTTATATAGAATAAAATTGCCCTTAGTTTGAATTTGTCATTTACTCTATCCACAGGATCTGGCTTATGACATTAAGTTTGACAAAGAACAACAGTGAAATCACTTTAAGGAAATATATAAACATATTTATAGAGGCTGAATAGACAATAAAAATAGTTCAGGGATTAAAAGTGAAGAGAGAAAGAAGAGAAAATAGTTCAAAGAGGTTTGTAAAATGAACAATGACAGTTATAATGTCAGAATTCAGGGTATTGAATGAGACTGAAAAACAGGAGGTCCTGAAGAAAGCCGAGCACTGATGTCATCACACAATTCATTTATTTATGATCTCATTAGAGAGGAGCGAAGGGGGTATTTTCAGCCTGTGCTTTCAGATGATCACAGTCTGTTTTATTGCAACACTTTTTTCTAGGCAATATAACCCTCAAGACCATCCATATACTTTTTAACTTTTTCCTTTTTTTTTTCCCTCAAGTTTTACATTTAATGACTTGGAGACACAAAATACACATAAATTTTACTTTCCTCTCATCCATAAAATATCCAAAGACATTAGGCAGATAATGCATTTCACATATGATTCTGTATAGTAAACATAGTTTCTGTTGTTCATTTTTCCTTTTTGATTATATGCTTAAAATAGCTAGAAGTACAATCACTTTCATTTGAATTATGTATTGTTACAATAGCTGTTTACTGAGTTTTATGTGCCAGGCACTGGTGAGGTTGTGAAGGACATATGATGTTCCTTGTATACGGACATGTTGTTTTCAGGGAAAAGAAACGTCTAGAATCAGACAAGGATTGACTGATCCTAAATATTGCTAAGCTTTTAAATAACAAATTATGTTTGCCCTGCTGGTTTTTTGTTATGGAATTATGTGTGTCTGTCTCAACTTAAATTGTAGGGTAGTTTTACTTCAGTTTTGAAATAACAAATAAAAGACAAGTGAGCCACCACCAATCATGATATAGGCAAGACCATAATAATTTTCTCTGAAGTAGAACTGCCTGATCCTAACTTTGAGTTGCCAGCAAGTAATGGAGGCAAATTTTATTTATGGTAGAGCTTATAACAATTCCTCTGAAAATAAACCAGGACCAGAGTATTAGAAGCAAAATTTTGCTGATGACTATTGAGAAAAAAAAAAAAAGTAAATGTAACTTGAAATATAAAAATGTCTTTGAAAATGTAAGGAAGTATCTACAGTAATAAATATCAAGATTTTTTTAACACATGTTCCATCCATATCGTTGAAGAAAAAATGCCAGTAACCAAGAAGATAGGTCATATGCCTTTAAATATAAAATTCCCTAACAGTTTTATGTGAAAGAGTATTAAAGCTGCTGAGTGTAAATTTGTGTTATAGAAAATAAATACTTCTACATATAATTATCAAGGTATATGTGTACTAAGAGTTATTTCAAAGAGCAAAATCAGTTCTAGAAATTCCCTAGTAGGTGAGGCATTAAAAAATTTCAACTGTAGTGTGACTTGCATGTCCAACAACAACTGTCATTTTTTTTTAATACAAGATTTATTTATTCATTCATATAGAACTGGGGTACAATCCAGAGATGCAGAGGGTGAGAGGATTCACCAGAGACAGAGAGGGGAGCAGAACAGGCAGATCAACGAAGTACACTGCTGAGGGGAGCAGCGGGCGGGTCAGGAGAGGTCTGCCTGGCCATGTGGTCACCTCCGGAGCAGGCGGGGATCGAACTCATGCGGAAGTGGCTTAAACTTCTTAGTGCTGTGCTTTAACCCACTGCGCCACCAGGGAGGGCTCAACAACTGTCATTTTAAAGGCCCCAAGTCCAAACTTCTAAGACTGTTGATTAAATAATTTTAGGGTACATAACTTTGCATATCTAGTCAATTTTGACTCAAGTTTGTTAGTATTTTAAATATGGTATGAAGTTACTTCACAGGAAAAGTTTTTACTGACCTCTAATGAGACATGTGGTCTGGTAAAAACTCAGTTACTGAATAAAGCTTGAGTATAGTGATAAATTATGACAGTATAATTGAGCTTTTGAAAGTCTAAGCAATACTGTAAAAATGAGATTTGTAAATTAGTACAATAAGGTATCTAAAAATGATGGTGACATTTTCAACTTTCTAGACATAACTTTTAATATATACCAGTTTGTTCTTCTAACACATTTTATATTGGGGTTTCAAAAAGTCAATGGAGCGAAATGAGTGTGATTTTGATAGTAATTAAAGAAATGAGCTTAGGTGAAAGTACAAAAATTACACCAAAATGTAATTTCCCAAAACAATATTTTTCCCTTGTTTCAAAACTTCCCTGGAGTCTTAAATCTATTGTGTATATTGCATTTCATTCCTTCCATTGAAATTTTCTCAGATTGCAAAAGACCTCTGACTATTCCCCTTCATTCTTGTGATTGAGGAAAACTGTATAATGAGGTAAATATTTATAAAATAAAGATGTTGCTTACTGACTTTCTGAATATGTTATGTAACTTACCCCAAATTTCCTGATTTGTATTCAAACCTAAAATATAATAATTTAATTGTAACTGAGAGACATTTAACTATACATGTTCAAGGATCTCTATTTTTATAAGAGTTTATAAAAAAAATCAGCTAGGAATTTGAGAAAGGTCACAGCATGTGGTTCTTTATTTGCATCAATATTCTGATAACTGATTTCTTTCAGTGACAGTATTTTTGCACAATCATTTAAAATAGTGAGAAGTAGTAGGGAGAGAAGTTGCTTCAGTAATTAGTGTAAACCTACTTATTCTGTCTGAGAGTATCCCCACTAACATTAGCCTTGTGATGTACATTTCTCATCAGATTGACAAGCTACAGAATACCTTAGACTTTTGAAAATGAGTTGTAGATTCTTCGAAGAGATTGATTCTTGAGATGGATATAAAGCAAGACAATTATTTTTAACACTGGTATATACTATAATTCTTTATAAGTGAGACTACCCAAACTATTTGAAAGCTTTTTATCTATAAATACCTACCTGCCTTTCAAATGGATATATCGGTGCTCTGATTATGAATATTGTGTTTGCTGTGTCTATAGTTTAGTATGGTTTATTTATCAGTCTTAGTTTAATTAAAATCTGCCTTATTTTTCCAAGTTTATACTGTATTTGTAAACTTATAATGTTATTGCCTTAAAAATAATATTACCAGATGAATGAGTTTTTAAAAACATAGTGTTGAATAAAGCAAGTATGAGCGAAATAAATTATTTGCTTTCAGTTTGGAAGAGGTGAATAAAAAGTGCTTGGCCAATACCGTACCATTAATCTATTCTCTTTTCTCCTTTCTCTCTTTACTTCTCTCTCTCCAATAGAAGTGGAACAAAAAGGTAATTAAATACCTTTCATAAATTATATACTATTTTTAGGCTAAGTTATTTAACAGTTTAACCACTAGTTAAAATAATTTTGTTATTAATTCTTATTTATTTTCTGAAAATTTATTTACTACTTCTGCTGCTCAACTTCACTGTAATCTGTTGTGCTGACCAGTGCTAGTTTGATCCTGTTTTCCTAAAACAGCTTAACAGAATAAAACTTTCCACCATGTATTTTGTTCTTCTTTGCGTAGTTAAAAATCCAGTATATGGGAATGGACAGTGATTGCTTTAGATTAGCTTTTATTTCTATACTCGATAATTTTCCTTAACTTCTGGTGTGCTTTCCCCTATTTTTTATTTATTTTTTTGCCTACAGGGGAAAGGGGTCTCCTGAAATACTTGAAGGACATAGGGCTCATTATGCATATAACATAGTTTATATGCATTTTGACAATGTCTAGCTACACCTTACAGTAATTTTCTTAGAATTTTGAAAAATTCATCTGATCAAAAATATCACTGAATATGAATTGTTAGTAGCCCAACTGAATTTGGCAGTCAACTTCTCTCCAAAAATTTTCATCTCTATAGCAGTGAAACCTTAGGCATTTTTATGATGCATTTTCTCTTTTTATTAACTTCAACTCCTAGTTGAGTTTCTAGATTATTTTCCATTGGATCTAGTTGCTATTAAGGAGATAATCATCAATATCATGAAAGTAATATTTTAATCATTAAAATATGGGTCAGCATCCAAAATCCTTATGATAAGTTCCTAATTTCTCCACCCAATACACTTCTAATAATTTTAGACATGTTAGTGGAGTGCATGATTATTTTTCAATGTGTATGTGTTGCCAAAATACTAGAGCAGTGTTTCCCATTGCTGGTTCAGCTGGTCACTATGCCCCAAAGAGGCTCTGTAGTATGTCCTGTGCTCAAATTAGCTGGTAAAATTGACTCATTCTCAACACTTTTGTCTTGGTGACTCGGTCATGTGTGTAAGCTATCCAATCCTTTGCCGTGATTCTATTTAATATTCTATTTTTTAAACACATGTGGTTAAGGTTACCTTACCCCCTCACCCCCATATAATACCTAGCTACATCACTTGAAACATATGCCTCAAGGACTACTCTTTGGGAAACATTGCTTTACAGATTAGTCATTACAGGTAAACCAATCAAGCTTCCTTACCATCATTTACACAGTGTGCTTCTGAATCTTACTAAAAATCAAGTGACTCAAATAATTCCTGCCCATTTTCAGTCTGAAGTGTGTAAGCAGCAAACTATTAAAACTATTATAGCAAGTAGTCTTGTTTTTTTTTTTTTTTTATGTTCTCATGTAACAGTAAAAGGTACGTTTTTTTTTCCAGTTCTAGTACTACTGTATTTAACAGGACATTTTAACTGATTAAAATCTAGATCTTGGGTTCTTCTCTGCAACCTTTCACCTTTTCTTCTTTCCTTATTTCTCCTTTCCTTTCCTTTTCTTTCCTTTCCTTTCCTTTTCTTCCTTTCTCCTTTTCCTTCCAGTATCCATCCATCATTCATTTTTAATCATGTGGGTTGCATGCTCTGTGTGTGCTATAGCAGCTTTAAGACCTTTTTTGCTAGAAGTTTCAGTGGCATATATTGCAGGGCTTTTATTTTGTATTTTTTAATTATTGAAATTCCATTTGCTTAATGATAACTCTCAAATAGTTAATATTCGTGTGAAAACTATTTTAAATTTCTAATAAGATACATAAAAACATTGTGTATAAACATTTGTGTCTGTTAGATGTCTATAGGATACATAGACAGACATGGTTCACATCTTTATATATATATATATATATGTATTTTATATATGTGTGTGTATGTATATATATATATATATACATACACACACACGTGTGTGTCCATACATATTGTACACACATTTGCAAAGGTAAAGACCAAAGAAATGCAAAACTAGTTTAAAAAAAAGCCAAATTATATTAGCAGATGAAATAAAAATAATTTGAACAAAAGTTGAACTTAATGTGAAAGGCTACTTTGTGTTCTCAGAGAATGCAGCAAAACAAGCAAACAAACAAACAAAAAAACATTAATCAGTGATGGGTATCCCTTGTTAGAGTTGCACTCTAGGAAAAATTAGCACATATGAAAAATATTTCAATTAATATATTAATTTAACTCTTTCCCTTCCAACAGTTTTTCTTTGTCCTGGACTGTTAAGAGGAGTGTACCAGAGTGAACATTTATTTGAATCTGACCACCAATCTGGGGCGTGGTGCAAAGACCCTCTGCAGGCTTCTGATAAAATTTATTATATGCCCTGGACTCCCTATAGAACTGATACCCTGACTGAGTACTCATCCAAGGATGACTTCATTGCTGGAAGGCCAACTACAACCTACAAACTCCCTCACCGGGTGGATGGCACAGGATTTGTAGTATATGACGGAGCTTTGTTCTTCAACAAAGAGCGCACCAGGAACATCGTGAAGTTTGACTTGAGGACTAGAATAAAGAGTGGAGAGGCCATCATAGCAAATGCCAATTACCATGATACCTCCCCTTACCGATGGGGAGGCAAATCTGACATAGATCTGGCAGTGGATGAGAATGGGCTATGGGTGATCTATGCAACAGAACAAAACAATGGCAAAATTGTCATTAGCCAATTGAACCCTTACACCTTACGGATTGAAGGGACATGGGATACTGCCTATGATAAAAGGTCAGCTTCCAATGCATTTATGATTTGTGGGATTCTGTATGTGGTCAAATCTGTATATGAAGATGATGATAATGAAGCCACGGGGAATAAGATTGACTACATTTACAACACCGACCAAAGCAAGGATAGTTTGGTGGATGTACCCTTTCCTAATTCATACCAGTACATAGCAGCTGTGGATTACAACCCCAGGGACAATCTTCTTTATGTATGGAATAACTACCACGTTGTGAAATATTCTTTGGATTTTGGACCTCTGGATAGCAGAGCAGGTAAGTCTGACTTTCAGGGTATTCAAGGGGAGAGCGTTAATAGTTTTTTCTCAGTATGTTATTGTACTGTTTTTTCTCAATACATTATTGTAGATTTTGATGAGATTTTATGTGGTCTGTCTTCTGGCCTGGGTAATTAAAAATGGTTTATCTTTCCACCTTAAAAATATTCCTTTTAATAACTTCCATCTCTAAAAAATTATAAGAATCTGGCTTTTTTTACCTTCTTGCAAGAAAGCTCCAATCTTTACTCTTTCTTTAAAGAGCATTTTTATTATCAGCTATTTAGCTTATGTTAGTGTAGTGAAGCACATAAAACCTTGCTGAAATAGAATGTTGTCCTAATTGGTTGTGGCATACCCTCAATAGTACTTTCCACTGGAAAATATCAAAGTTAGCTTGATATAATTGTTCAGGATCCATATGCCAATATATTCACTTCACAGAGACCTTCATATTTGGCCATTCCTATGGGAAATACAGTCAATTTGAGGCAGCGTTTGTCTGAGTATACCTAACAAATAATACAGAAAAGTGTTTGTAACTGGCATATACAGAAAAGTGCAGATCTCAATTTTATATGAAATAACAATGTAAACCACTGCTTTGTGTAAACATAAGATAATATTTAATTTCTATTGTTTTAATGTATACTTTTCCACCTTAGGGTATATTTTTTAAACTTGTTTAAAGACTTTCATAATTTGCTTTATTTTTTAAAAAGTTTTATTTATGCAGCTTTTCAGAATTATATTAGTTCAAATGTTAATTATTTTAACCAACAACTATGCTGTTCACCATTGTCAAACACTATGGAAAACTAAGATGTAGGAGGCTTTTTGATAGTATATTTGTTGCATTGTTTTACCATGCTTTTGCTAACTCACCATTATGTTTCTTAATTTAGTTCATTTCATACACACACACACACACACACACACACACCTATATACAAATATATGCATGTTTTCCTTCTCATACAAGTAGAGCCTAAGTCAAGGATATGGCATTGCCTTATCCTTTCTTTTATTATATTTTTGTGTGACTATTACTTTTGTTTTCTTAAATAGTACTGTGCTACAGGCATATATAAAGAAAATATCAACAACTGTGAATGAATGAGCACCTTTCCACTGCTTATTATTCTAGAATAACAAATTGTATGGTATTTGCTCCAACCCCCAAGACTCCTCAGTAACAATTTTTTTTCCATGTCCAACAATGTCAATATATTAAATTGCCTTCTAAGGAAGGAAAAGCCTAAATACACAACTGTAGTACAAACAACTTTTCCTTACTAAGTCTGCGAACTTGTCTAGCCAACTACAATATGTGAGCCACCTCAGTACAGGTAAGTTTTTTCGATGTTAATGCCCTTTTCATTTGAAAGCCTAAACAAGAATCAGTCGTCTGGAATTTTCAGGAACACAGTTCTTTAACAGCATCAACATTCATAAATCAAAGTATATATTTTGTTAGTGAAAACTCCACTGATAAAGTTTCTTAGTCTTTTTTTGACTTTTAATTGGAATAGGAAATGCTTTCAAATTGCCTCAAATAAATAATAACTCATAATTTGTGGGAGTTGATTAGTGAATAAAAGACAACATATTTTATTTAAAAGATTGTATATTAATTTGCTTAATAAGTTAAAATTAATTAGCACTGCAAATTTTGGTTTGATAAATTAACCACTGACTGAAACAAATTCTTAGATTAGTTTTATAAATTAATCATAAAGAGTAAGAAGATAGCAAAGTACTAGCCGAAAAATACTTCTAATATACATTAATAAATTGATGATTGTGTGTTTATATATATATATGATAAATTCTTGTAATTTTGGCCATAAGACAAATTATGCTTTTCATTAAATTTTGTTTGCTTATTTATGGGAGTTAAAATACTTGCCATCTTGTCTGCCCTAACTAGTGTTTGTTAAAAGGAAATGTTTAAAGTGGCAAGAATTGAGAAATGATTCAGTTCACCTTTTGAAACAAATTCCTAACTTGTCAAAAGATTGTTTTCAGTCACTTTAAATGACAATAAATAGCCTGTCCACATTGCAGAGTGAATTTCACCTGTATTTAATTTGCAAATATAATTGTAAGAAAATGTATCAATTTTCATTCTTAAGTGTTCAAATTAAAAAGCTAATACTTGGGAGTGTGGACTTATTGCAGTTTAGAGGTGGAAAGAATAAGAGTGGAAGTAAATTTTATGCATGGTATATGTGGATATGAGGGTTTCAGTTATCATTAATAGAGGATGTTCATCTTACTCCACACAAATGGTTTCAGCTGGGTTTTTTCCTACAGTAAATAACATTGGTATTTTTCAGAGAAATTGTCTTTAGTGAACTGTTATTACGTGTCTTCCTATGTATCTATAGGAGATCCTTCAACTTTCTCTTTGTTAGGATCAAAAAAACTAATTCTAAGTTTGTAGACCTAAAGTCGATTTGCTTTTGCTAAACAAGTATGGTAATTTTGCTCTGATTTTAACTGAGTTCTAGTCAATGGAAATTCATACTTTTAAAGTGTGTGTGAAGGGATTTCTCCATTATACTTCTACTAAATATAACAATCCTGTGCATTCAAATATCTGAGTGATGGAAGGTAGGAAGCAAATATACTTCTCCTGAATATATAAATATTCTCTTGTGAATTGTATACATATAGATAGCATATTGTTTCTGAACATGAATTTGAAAGCCAGAAGAAAAGGGTTTTGAATTCTGCCTCAAGCAGTCTTTTGATAACGGCTGGGCTGTTCAGCTACCTGGTCTTAGTTTCCTTGAAGATAAATAGAAATTTTATACCAAAGCAGTGTTTGTTTTTACTGAGATGATATCATTGATACAAGCATAACATTAACCTAGTAGTTACACACCAGCCCTATAAATTACATTATTACCCACATTTTCTAACTTAGGGACATAACATTGCAGTTCATGTAACCTATTCAAAATTCACCTGCCTATTAAAGTACAGTCAACTTTAGATGTATGTTCCCTCTGAGACAACAGTCATGGAAAGCATGCTTTATTGAGCAGCATGTCTAGAATGATTTTTTTGACAGAAATATGTTCAGTATCCCAAGTCATCCAGCACTCTTAAGATGAAAGTCTAATTTATAATTCTCATGATTTGATTACTGTAGATTAGCACTCTAAAAGAGTGTCTGTAGTCTTAAACCTTGCAATCAGATGTGATTATATTTAATAATTTAATAAACATAAATCCTGGCATGATAAACTCTGAGGGGTAATATGAAAAAAAAAAAAAAAGCCTTAGCTTCTTGGAAATATCTTGAAAAGTTATTTCAGAAGTCATCAAATACCTTCCCTTCCATTTTATGGATACACATTCTTTCAAACTACTACTGTCCTTTCTATTGCTTAGCTAAATACATGACATGCATGTTTGTATTCTTTTAAAAAGGAAAACATCTTGTAGGACAGTACAAACTGTTAAAAATTGTTTCAATGCTATTATTGTTTTTAAAAAATTGATTTTTTAACTTATATGTCAAAAGTTCTTTGTTGCCTATAAGTGAAATTTCTGCTTCAAAATGTCTTTTTGTAAGTCTTCCAGGAAAATGTTTTAAGTTTAAAACGTGTTCTTATTTTTCTCTTCCAATGTTATTAAAAAAAAAGGAAAAGAAAAGAAAAATACTTATTCTGCAGGTAAACTGCAAATTTGCAAGTTTTAAAAATAATTTTCAGAATTGGGCCCTCCCTGGTGACTCACCACTGCAGTGTAGCTGCGGCCGCTTCAGTGTGAGTTGGATCCCCGGACCCGGAGGTGACCCACATGACACAGCAACCTCTCCTGACTCGCCTGCTGCTCCCCTCTGTAGTGTACTTTGTAAATCTGCCTGTTCTGCTCCCTGCTCTGTCTCTGGTGAATCCTCTCACTGCCCCTGCACCTTTGGACTATACCCCACCCCAATTCTGTATAAATAAATAAATATTTAAAAAGTAATAATTTTCCAGCATGAAACTAGTATGTACATGAATCAACTTATTTTGATATTGCTGTTCATATACCTTCTATTTACAAATTTCATAGAACTTTTAAAATAAATATAAAGATCTCAATTTATTAAAACTTTGTTCAGGAAAGTAAGACTTTGATTTGCATTAATAATATTGTTGATATAGTTTTAGCTACTTTTGTTTATGAATTTTATAATAGTTGATATAAATAGAAGGTATTCTGTCATGATTTGTTGAGTAAGAAGAGTTTAGCAAATGTTAAATAGACACACCAGTACTTTCTTCCAAAAGTAATTCAAATAAATTTAAGCTGGTATTTTAGAACAGAGGAAGAAAGTGATCAACTAACTGTTCAATGAGTTTGATATTAAGAATATATTCTCCCATTTTTTCCATTTACAAATTGCTTCAATTCAAAGAGAATGGAAAAGATATTACATTTAGAAGTCAATAGTAATTTAGCCTTATGAAAATATATTCATTCTATGGAAAGAGGAGTCAGTTTCGGATACCTATATTCAAAATGCTTCTAAGCATTAATATCTGAATATAAAACATAAGTGAAAGTGAGCTCTTTTTTTTTTTTTTAAGATTTATTTATTTATTCGTACAGAACGGGAGTACAGGCCAGAGATGCGGAGGGTTGAGAGGATTCACCAGACACTGAGCGGGGAGCAGAACAGGTAGATCGACGAAGTACACTGCTGAGAGGAGCAGCGGGCGGGTCAGGAGAGGTCTGCCGCTCCATGTGGTCACCTCCGGGTCAGGCTGGAGCTTTTTTTTTTTTTTTTTTTTAAGATTTATTTATTTATGTTTACAAAACTGGGGTAGAGGTCAGAGATGCAGGGGGCGGTAGGTGAGAGGATTCATCAGAGACAGAGTAGGGAGCAGAACAGGCAGATTGACGAAGTACACTGCTGAGGGGAGCTGCGGGCACATCAGAGGTCTGCCACACCCTGTGGGTCAGCTCCACTGTTGATGATCAAACTCAGGATGCAGT